TAGCGGTTCGCGTCCTGCCTTACGTGTTCGACGCGAACATTATATCGGATGAAAGTCCTTTTCTGAGGAATAACTACACGACGACTGAGACAAAAAATAAAAAATATGTGACCGATCGATATCTTCGATGAAGCACGACAGTTCGTGTAGGTGAGTATGTATGTGCGTGTGTATGTGAGAGAGAGAGGATCTTGAAACAGTCCCGAGCAGCAGGTGCTGGCCCTTAACTTGGCGTTTCCCGGTTGTCCTTGACTGCCGTGCCAACAGGGGAATTTAATCGAACGCGAGTTTGAATTACCGACGATGAAGAAGGGGATGATGTATCGCAGTATTGAGAAGGCCTGCCGACAACGAAGTGTCACGAGAACGAGCAACCGACTGTTTGCCGCACGTGATTCGGCCAAATCGATCGATCGATCGATCGATTGCACGCTCCGGGCCCGTCGATTAGAAGATTACGCGGCCGAGAGACGACGGCGATGTGGTGCTATAACTCCCGCAGCGGTACGCTCGGAGAGCTCGGCGCCATTACGAGAATTACGCACAGATTTATGTCCCTTACGCGGCGCGAGTGAATTCGTTGCTTGCCAAATTGAATTCCGTGCGGCGCATGTATCGCGAACCGCCCGATAATTTATGCCCTTCGCGGCGGTTCTTGGGCGAGAAAAATCCGACGGAAAGTCGCGAGCGCGACGGCAGGTGGCAGGATAATTCTTCGCGCGAATCTCCGCCTATTCATTCATGCGGAAAGAAATTTTTTTTTTTTAATGTAAAAATTCATCGACCGAAAAAGTACCATAATGGTCTCGCTCGACTGGGATATACTTGTAACGTCGGAATAATTTCAAAGCAGTGAGAAATTTTGGAAATCGATGCGAACAGCACGATTATAAGCTGCACGTCTCTGTTACAAGCACAACCCAGTAAACATCGACTAACGTTACAGCAACGTTATAACTTGGCATTAAATAATGTAACTGTTATATACAACGCATGTTGTATTACACTTGCATTGTTCAGTGATAAATTATAACATTGGTGTGATGTTATTGTTTATTGATGTTTACTGGGAAACAAATATAATTTCGGATACACGCGTTTTTGCAAATATACCTAGCGTAATGTCGCGCAAGCGAGGGGAAATTTTCCAAGAGTGTCGAGGTGCACTCATTTACGTCTAATTGGTGCGAACGTCACAGGGCCTCTTGATCGACGGAAGAGGTATCGCTGTTCAAAACTTCGCGTACGTTTTTCAAATTCTTCTTCGGCGCCGAAGTTAATTATCAATGAGAGAAATCTTGGCCGGGAATTCCCCTATATTCCTGGGCGAAGTTGGCACGGAATTTGCGCGGAATATTTTTGTCGTTTCCCCCGATACATAAACCTCGGTTTTGCGACAATGTCGACGGCCGCGGAACTTACAAGACGGGACGCAACCTGGTACAAAGCCCGGCCTTTATGGAAAAAGTTCGTACGTAAGATTCGAAGCTTAAGAAAGTTCAGCATTCCACAGATGCGCCGCGACATTTATGTACAATTTAAAAAGATTTAGGAATCGAAGCTGGGGACTCGCCCGCCGCGCTCTGTATTCAACGATCCGTACGCGACTTTGCTCGAGGCATTCGTCACATTTGTAACTGGCATCCGCACAATTCGGATTTTATCGTTCGAGAACTCGTATCGTTACTTTGCGAAGCGGGCGCTCTATGGACCGACGAAGGGCTTAACTGCGTTATTAACGTGCGCGTCTCTCGAGAGATAAGTCCGAGAGTATTTCGCCGCTTCCGCTCCTTTGTGCTCGTCCCGAACGATCGAAACGGATTAATTGAAAAATTGAACGGACACGGGGAAGAATGAGGGATTTAACGCGAGACAAGGATAACGGTAGCGATAGGAACGCGACATTTCAATTAGACACGCGGACGGCTGGCTGCGGTCGCACGACATTCGAATAGCCGCTTCAGCTTCGCATGCGGATGACAGTTAAACGGCTTCACGCGCGAGTCAGATAACGTAAGTTCGCAATTAGAGTCGCCGTCGGCCAGTACAACCAATCCAAAATACAGTATCAACATACAACGACCGTGTCAGCGGCATTAAAGGCCGCGCGAGTCTTCACCACCGACGGGTTTATTCGGTAACGCCCACGATAATACGTCCGTGCTCCGCGGTTGTCAGTATGGATATCGCCAATATTATACATTATCGAAGACAGCCGGGATGTCGATACAGGGAATGATACCGAGGAAACATCAGTGTGAAACGAGCCGCCCGGCGGAATCAATAATCCAATACGGATGTCGATGATACGCTTCCACTCGACGAGCTCGCGAAAAAGGACCCTTTCTTGATACTGCCCGCGTACCCCGTTAATATGTTTCAAAGAGTATTTTCGGACGGTTCAGCAGATTGTCTCGCGTAAGTGCGATTAATATTAAGTATCGAGACTTCGCGCGCGTGCACAGACCCCTCGTCAGCAATAGACTGTTGGCGGTTTTTTATCCCCCTGTGACAGTTCAAGACAAAACGAGGGCTTTGTATGCAAAAGTATCGTATTGTGACTCGACTCGGCTCACTTCAATGGTGCTCAACGTTTCAACAGCCCTCGCGATAAATCAATACTCTGAAATGAGAATGAGAACGGAGTCTCTCTTTCTTTGCCTTCTCTCTCTCTCTCTCTCTCTCTCTCTCTCCCCCCTTTCTCTTCTTCTTCCTCTTTTTCTCGATCCGAGGGAGGAAATAATTTATATATTAATTTAATACGAGACGATCGAGAAAGACTCTTCACCTCCGCAAAATCGCCTCGCGCTTCCGGTTGTTTCTCCTTCTCAAAGGCGTATCGGCGTCGTGACATGTGTCGCACATATTCTGAGTAGAAATGTACATTTGGGTGCGAAACAGTTCCGCAGGTACGTTTTCCTTTTATCCAATCGAGCTGCAGTTTTACACAGATTTATTTCCTCGAGTTGGAACCGCTTTGCGAGGTGCCGCAAAAAATATCCGAAAGTCGAAAAATAAGAGCCATCCTACAATGCATGCTTTGGGACGTTGCGCGGCGGCTGTGACCCAGATTAATCCTACGGGTTTTCGCGTATTCCAGCGATGCGCAAAAGAAGAAAGGACGGAAGGCAGGAAGTCAAAGATGAACTTTATTCCTCTCTGCGAAAACTGCAATTCACCGATTGTTCGCCAAGCCAGTAAGCCGGGAGGGCGGCATTCTTCAAATTAAATCGATCTCGAGCGCTTCGGGTCAAATTGTCGCTCCGCGTTCCACGTTAACGTATTGAATTAACGCGCAACGTAAGGTGAAAGGAAGCATCTTCGCGTGATACTCGCACGTTTCTTCTCTTTTCCTTTCTTAACGTTTCTCTGTATCGTAACTTTGCGATTTTCCAATTTACTTTGCTTTTTTCTGCGCGAAATCGTATCACTCGGTATACGGTATAACTGAGAGAAAAAGTTCCGATGCTCGTAACTAAAATCGCATGAATAAATGAAAGAATTATAACTCGTATAACTATTTTTCCAGTAAGAGTTAGTATAACGTCAGTGATAATAATCTTACATGCAAATTGCTGCAAAAAAGTTTTGGTATTTGTAATTATAATCATATGGGTGAAAGAATTATAGTCAGATGGACTATTTTCCTAGTGAGTGTTATTATAAATATCAGTGGCAATAACTTGATGCATATAAAAAACTTTTGGTTTAAACCCCCCAAAAATAACAATGTTATATAGTAGTGATGTAAGAAGATATACTTGAGGCCGAAAACGATTATAATTATAATTTTTCCTCGGTGCGCGCTTAGAATGCCATTTCGTCGCGGACATTTGCCCTCTCGCTGTTATTTCGTGGCCGGCCGATCCGACCGACGCCGGTTGCTCGGGACATCGAGATAAACTTTCTCTGTGTCGGCTCTGAGGGATAACTGTCGTGGAACTAATGTCGCGTGGCGGTGGATGTAGCGGAATCCGCCGTTTGATTCCATTACACGGCACTTAGGGCCGTAACGTACGGGATGTTTCGCGCAGAACTTTCGGGCCGGTTGCTATCGCCCACGAGCGCGAGACGCTCGTTCAAATTGCGCGAGCCCGATTACGGCATGGATACCGTTAATTAGGATTTTACGTGAAAGGGCGGGAGAGACGTTCCACGCTTAGCTGTTATCCTTTCTCGCTGGAACGCAAAAGTATTCAGGGCGCGAGTTCTACGACCCTCGAAATCGCCTCGGAATCCGGTTAGCAGCCCGAACGTGAGAGAGAGAGAGAGCCTTGGAAGCGAGAAGGGTGCGATCATTCGAGGGATGGTGCACACACAGGAAGTTGGGAACAAAATCTATTTCAATTTTCTTTCGAGTTCAATGCGCACGAACATGCGACATTCCAAGTGCTCGCTACCGTCACGCCAAGAGACGATTCGTAGACTCTCTTTTCCCTGTTCAGCGCTTTCATGAACTCTCATTCCCCGAAACACACAAATTGCTCCATCCGTATAACAGTTAACGGATTTTAATCGATCGATTAAATGCATGCAATTGTCGAACGAATAAAATCCCGATCAAGTGGCAAAAAGAAAGAGAGCTTTATTTTCAGGTTCATCGGTAAACTCCCAGTTTCAATCTTCTTACCGAGATTGACGAAATGTTCTTCGCGCAAATCTCGGTCGAAGCGGTAGCCAACGCCACCGGACGTCGGTGAAGACCAAACCGACGCCCATCGCGGACGCAGTTCGGAACAGAACCGCTCCGATACGGACGGCTTATCCATCGGGAAAATTGGCGCGCAGTTCCGCGTGAGCGTTTCGCGAACGTAGCGGGCGCGTCTCTCGATTCGAGTTCCTCTCGCTCTTCTCTCCTTCGTGGCTCGATTAGCGGCGATATCCGAAAAGGGATGCGCGCGGTGGTGGCCGAGAGTGGGGATACGCCGCGATTGCAATAAAACGATGGAAATATTGGAATCGGCGCAATATGATTCCACGACGGGTCGCGAAATGAAACGAAACAATGTTTTGCGTTGCGCGGAACCGTCGGCGAGCCCTCTCCCCTCTCGTCCCCTCGTCCTCTCTCGCCCCCCGTGCGAACCGAGGATTTGTTAAATATCGAGCGCGTCTAGCTAGTACCGTGGCCAAAATGGCCGGCGTTTAGTCGTCCTTTAGTTCGCGTTTAAAATCGAGCTGGCTTTAACTCGGCTGGTTCGAGGCCGTTCCTCGCTCGCGTCACCGTCGATCTCATCCGCCCCGTATTGAAGAGGCCGCTTTCTCGAAGAGAGGGGCTCGCGTTTTTCAAACGAGGGCGCGTGTGCCTTCCGCAGAGAAAATCCGAAGATGCCCCGGGGAGAGCGCGAACGCTCGGAGAATCGTCCAAATTCAAACTTCGCGAAACGCGTCCCGCGAGAACCAGGTGTATAAACCGAACTTAAAACACGAGACCTTGATGTAACGAAAGTTTACGTTAATCGTTTCGACGAATCCCCCCCGAGACAGCTGCCGCGCACTGTAAGAGCAACGATTCGTGAAGCACGTGAATATGCGCGAAAAAACATTAGTCGAGGTACAATCGGAGGAAAAGCGGAATTACGTCCGAATAAACGTGCGGCGACTTCCGTGAGACAGACGACGCATCGGTAAACAGCTGACTGTTCTAAAGCCGCGGTTAAACAAGCAAACCGCACTGCCACGAAACAGAGGCGACGAGCACGTGTAACGAGACGTTTGTACGCACGATCGGACGAAGGCGAATTAATCTCTCGAATTAGACCGAGCAGCCAGCCGACTTTCTAGTTGTTCGAGGTGAGCGATGGAGGGTGAGAACGCGCGTAGTTGCCGGGGAAGCGTGTCTTCGGAAACGACGACGACGGTGTTGCTGAAGAAGCGGGAGAGGACGCAGAATTGGGTGCCCGAGGAGAAGAACGCCCTGTTCGCTCTGATCAAGCTGCACGTGAGCGCGATCGAGAACAAGAAGATCGACCAGGCGGCGTCCACGAGGAAGGCCCTCGCCTGGCAGCAGATCTACTCCGCGTTTCGCGGCAGATTCACCGCGGACCGGGACATCGTGCGGATAAAGGAACAGTGGCGGCGGATGAAGGCGCAGGCGAGAATTGAAATGTACACGTACGCCGAGAAGGTGCGCGATTTTGACGTTCGCGACGACGTTTTCGTGGACGTTCACGCGCCGCGTCGCGCGCTTAAGGCCGCTTAACCTTAGATTACTAAACTGTCTCGTGACTTACTAATCGTTCGTTAAAATTACGACTGAAGGAAAAACATAGGATATTTGAGAAAAATATGATCTTTATTCGGAAGTAAGAACGTTATATTGCGAATATATTTATGACAATTGGACTTAAAAACGACGATGAATTGAGACAATAATTATTTTGCACAACCTGAACACACGTTGACTCATATTGTGATTTTGTGTTCGCCGACATGAATAGAACGTAGGTAGAAAATACAAGGAATTTATTTCACGAAATTTCTATTTCGGTGAAAATACGACACTGGCGATGTGCCAACGTGCTCCTTCGTGTTTCCCTTTCAAACTGACGATCGCGCGAGGGTTAAACAGTCGTTGAAGTTAACATGTTGCGGGAACTATAGGAACTGCGATGTTTTGTACCGCATTAACGATTATTGTCGGTGTTCTAATTATTGATAAACGTCGTGTGGTATAATCGTACGATTTTAATTGCTTCCTGTTGTTTTCTATGATCGTGTTCGTACGAAGGTGCGAACTCTGGGACCGGATGTGGCCACCAAGTCTCGACCGTCGGGTCTGTCGGTCGAGGTGTGGAGGCTGATGGAAAGCGTACGGCGAAACGATCGCGACGCCGAGCGTTCGGACGACAGTAGCAGTCAAGAAACCCACGAGAACCGGACGACAAGTCGGGTGTCCGCGATACACGCCATCTTGGACAATTTGACACTGCCTGCGACGCTGGAAACGTCAGGTTGAGTAAACATCAGTTGCTATTCTACCTTTGTCGTGTAACTATTATTATCCCAAGAAAATGTCACAATATCGTAATTAACTATCTTAATAATTAAGACGAAATTAAAATAAAATTAGGACAAAATTGTGGAGAAATAACGGTTATTTAGTATAGAGACTGTGATGCCGATTGATAATGTTGCCGAATTCAAACGTAGAAAGATATGACATGCAATAACGACCATTACGTCTGCACATATTTGATGTAAGGTTACATTTTTTCGCGCGACAATGACCTCGCACAATTCAGTCTTATTAAATTGAATCATTTATCTAATCTTATCTGTTAACCGTTTCGTGAGGGTTAACATTATACCGGTTTTAATCCTTGGTTCAGTGGCAGGGCACGAAGTAAAGATCGAGATCAACAGCGATACTTACAATACGGAGGACGAGAACAGCCATAGTGAATCTGCACCAAAATCGTCGCCAGGTGTCTCGCCAAGGAAACGCCCGAGAACGACGACGTCGGGGACAGAGGACGAACATATAGAATGTCTTGAGCCGAAAATCGTGCATCCCAATAGCGGCCTGACGTCCCGTGTCAATGATGGTATCTTTCGTTGGTCTCTCTCTTTCTCTCCCAGTAAATAAGATACATCAAATCAATCTTTTGAAATATTGATTTTATGTGGACTTTATAAACATTTTGACATCATATTTTATAAATGTTTATAAATTGCTGTTCGATAATATTATATTCTTAAATATTAAAATCATAGTATGGAAACATTATTTTTGATGTTTCGATCAAATATTGTTAACAATAATGTTGAATGCAACATTAAGAACTACATATTTGAAAACGTTACATAATTATAAAATATCATTGTAATAACGTTGTGTTAATGATTTCTTGCCTACTGGGCTCTCTCTCTCTCACACACACCCACACACACACACACACGTATGGTGATATACCATATGACATGCGTTATGAAAGACTGCGGACAATAACCGAATATTTTGTTTTTAAGAGGCGGAATACAATGCAAAGAATGAATCGCTCGTCGACAAGAGCGACGTAGGGCGACAGCGAGCGATGTGGATCTGCAAGTCGACCCAGCGTGAGCATGAGATCAAGCTGCGGATGTTGCAGATCGAGCTGGAGCGCGCTGAGCTGCAGAAGCAAACCGCCGTGAACGAGTTAAAGACGTCTGAAATCAAGAGACAACTGATCGAAAGCCAAGCTGCAGAGTATTTCAGGTCGTTACACCAATACTCGATACATGCCCGCTGAATAGATCGGTACTTACGTCGATCGAGATTCCGGTCGAAACGTTCGATCCGATTGAGTCCTCGAAGGATTGTAAACGTCTTTGAACGGTTAATACACTTCGAGATATTTTGTAGTATTATGTTGACGATGCACTCGTCTCTATTCGCGACAATTTCAAGTACTCGATGTACGCGTCTCCGATAGAGTTGATAACCTGGTGAAAAATTATCCATATATAATTTTATGTAATTATATAAAATCATGGAAATGGAAATATATCTAAAATTATGTATAATTCCTTATGATTATATATAATTATATGCACAATTCGCGTTTAAAGGAACCAGGCAGTATAATTATCCATAGATCGTGCAAAATTATATCTTTATATGATTTTATATGGTCATATATGATTATGTATAATTATATATGGAAAATATTTTACAAGAAATATACGACGCCGCGTTAACTCGTTATTAATTATCATTATTCCTCTCAATTGCTTTCCCTTATAATAATTTACGGTATACGATAATTGTATCAATTGTGACCTTCAATAATGGCTAAGTTGCGATCGCTTCGCCGCATTCTCTGCGTTTCTAATTTCTTTCTTCTTTCAACAGCTTTATAACGACTTCTAATTATTTGCTTTGCAGTGTTGTAATTGGGCGTTAGTTAATGTGCAGTTATGATGTCGCTCATAATGATTTGCACATTTCGTAATTGCGTTAATTGCAATACCGACGCAGAGAAAATATCGGTCACACATAGCGCGCGAAGTATCGCGTTGATAACGATGCCGTCGTCGCGGCGCCAGCGGACCGCCGGCTGGCGCGTGAGAGTTCGTGATCTAAGAGTAGCGCTACGTTCATGGACGGAGCAGCTCAAGGTAGTCTAGTGGCGCTGCCCCGAGTCTTAGTCGATAGTTCCGATATCGAATTCGTGAAGATGCAACGGGCGATCACGACGTTCTCACGAAACATTTCTGTGTTAAGGTATCTCGTGAAGCTTCGCGTCGTTTCGCAGGATAATAATTCAGCGCACACTGCGCCTTTAATTCACTCTCTCCCTCTCTCTTTCTCTTTCTTCTGCTCCCCGGCATTTCGCCGACCTAGCGAAACGTAGATTCCGATGCCGTCTTCGATGTACGTCTTTATACGCAGTAATGAGTATATATGTTTTTTTTTTGAACGCACGAAAGACTTGTTCTTCCACGTTGAACACAGATGTCATTGTTTTTTTTTTTTCGTTGCAACGTCGTAGATCAGTGACATATGCCCGACCTACCTAAATACTATATCAAAATTATGTAATGCTTCGGCTAGATAGCAGTAGACATAACCCCATGACTCAGGTAGAACTCAGAGAATTACAATAACGTCGAAATAACGAGAAAATGACTGTAACAATTCACTTTTCGATCATCATTTTGACGTCATTTTAATATCACCATTTTCTGTTCTACACAGTGATATTTCGTCTCACATCTGCAGTTGAAAGGTTCTTCTCGCGTGATTCCGTTATATTATTCGGAATGTTTTTCGTTGCAGTCAGGTGAGAATGGCTGGAGAACGTGGCTCTGGTGCTGGCAAAGGAGGAGGTGGTGGTGGCACCATTCGCGAGGCCGGTGGATCCTTCGGAAAGATGGAAGCAGCCCACGAGGATCAGTACTTTTACAATCTGGTCGGTATCACATCTCTCCTGCGAATTCTTTCGTGTTAACGATCATTCAATCCGCTCACACGAATCTGAAATCTGATTTCAGCAAAAGGAGCAGTTACAAAAGATGCAAGAGAGTCTGCATGATGAGATTTCGTTCCATGAGGAGCAAATCAAACGTCATCAGGAAGCTATAAATCGCCACAAAAAGCGAATCACAGATATGGATCGCAAGGAATAAAGATATTAGAAGTTACTGGCGTGAGACTTCCAATTTCAGCGATATTATTGATTTCGATATAAAAAGATCCAAAAATAGTAAGGATAATAGAGCGTCACGAAAGTGTTGTTTTTTTTTTAATGTATATGTCACTTTGAATAGATATAAAATATACAATGCTTTTAATATTAATCAAGCATTGACGTATTATCATATTACCTTGGAATATTGTATGAATCGGTTACCTCAATGAGACTACCATAAGACGCCTTTGTACGTCAAATACCTGAAAAGGCTTGCTTATACCTGAGAATAAAATGGAGTTTTTAATCGTTGGTTAAACGTGTCTTAGTTTGCGGCGACCTTCTTCAAACTGATATCGACGCCCATGTAATATCATTGAATTTAAGCTCGGACAATGTAGATTCGCGATAACGATTTCTCTTTTAATTCATGAGCAAACAAATTATACTATATTTATTAACGCGGTCCTTTTTCCGTACTTTTTGGAACGACGGAGATCGAGCTCGCCGAAATGACAGAATCACTCGTAATCGAATAACGCCAATTCCGATGATTGAATCACGTCGGATGCGAATTTGTTTTATCCGTGTCGCGCGTGTGACATTTTGTAAGCGACACGTATTTCCCCCCGATGAATAAATCATAACTTTGTGTCTGTTGAATATTTCCTATTGCACGTCGTATCCTATTTCAATAAACAAGCGCGATGCTTCGACGTGTCGTCAAAAATATGTGTAGATATACACCCAGGTGCTCATCTGGGAACACGTTCAATTCGCAACGTTCGCATTTCTTTGGTTGTGTCCCTTTTCTGATACCGCAAATTCTTCAAATTGTAGGCGTGTCGACAGAAGGGAGAAACATGATTCGAAAAAAAGTCCAGCGTCGTTCGGCGAAATCGCATACGAGACGGAACATTACTACAAACAGGTGACCTACGTTGCGAAAGGTCATTAGCGAATCAAACAACCATCGCGATGTATAATCGTGTGAATCCATTTAGGACAAAAAATTGTTGAGAGTCATGCGGCAAAAGACCGAGGACGAGGTGAAACTGCTGCGACACGAGATCCAAATGATGCGCAATAAGATCGAGGAATACAATCGAAGTATCAACGAGAATCTGAGATTTCTAAAGAATCTGGAGAATGATCAGACAACCCCCGCCGAGAACAAGAAGAACTAACGATCACGCGCGCTCACGTTTTTCAGGATTAATTTAGCCAAACTCCGATTCAGCTAATCGATGATGTTGAAAGTCGCCGTTGGTTAAATTATCTTCTCTCTCTCTCGTTCATATAGATACTCACATAACATAGTTATATTCTTGTCATTTAGATATTATCGCAATTTCGTGCTCCATCCGAATAGAAACTGTTAACTTTTCGATTATTTTTATATAGCAACTTACGCAATTTCGAATCGGTGTCGGAAAATTTCATTATTTATCGATCAGTCGAATCTGAGTTTGATGAAAATATCTATTCTGTAACTTTCAACGAACTTTCACGCGTGTGTCATTATGACGCAAGTATGATATGTAAAACCACGGCGACGCAACGATGACAACATTGTCGTTAAAAGTTAGAACACAAACCTTGATTTCCTGTCGTCGGAGAAAACGCGCGGCGGATTCCGCTCGAAATGAAAACCCTCGCAATTACGAAATTTCCGTCGACCCATCGAGAGAGGCAAAATCGCAATGAGTCGCTCGTCGATCCTCTCGCTCCGCCGTCGCCACCGTCAGACGCCGCGAGATGGCGCGCGCGCGCGCTATTCGGTTCGGCGACTCGGAGCAGCACGTCATGGCGACCATAGCGGTGGTCGACGACAGCGGGCGATCGTCGCGCCGCCAGTGTCTCGCGGTTCATCGATCAGTGTGGTGTGTGTCTGTCGCGTTGTTGTTCCGGGGAGATTTTTCTAGTGGTGGTTTGGTTCCTGCCTGTATATCTGGCGGTAGTTTTCACGCGGATTCCTCTCGCTGGCTCGTACTCCGCGAGAGACTCGTGCGCGCGCTGATACGGGAGCACGGGCGCCGTCGTCATCGCGGGGCCCATTCGAGATCTACAGAAACCGGGGGAAAGATGCGACTAAGGATATGCTGGGTTCTGGTTAGCACGGCCGTGGTGATCCTCGCGGGATGCAACGCCGCTACCGAGGTGAGAGTTCGCGTCGTCGGGAACGTCGTTGAGAAGCGAGAAGACGGACGAGGCAGGGGGTGTGAATGTGAGTGAGTGAGAGAGAGAGACGGCTTTCTCTTTCTCTCCCTCATTCTCCCCATCATTCTCTCCCCCTTTCCTTCGCGCGCTGTCTCTCTCCCTCTACCCGTCTCTCTTAGCTGTCACGCTCGGCGTCTCGGCCAATCTGTTCCGAATCGAACTATGCACGATCATAGTCCGCTTTCCTCTTCGCTTTTCCACCCGTGTCGCTGAGGCGAACGCTTCTTCAACGTTCAAACGGGAGCCACGTACATGTATAGACACTCTACTAACGTACGAGCAGAAGCGCGTTTCTTACCTTCGTACGTAGTATATCGGCGTTTACGCCGATACCGCGGCGCACTCCTGGCGTCTCGTTTCGGACAGTGGTGTTCAAATCGAAACAGCGTTCGCGGCGCCGAGCCACGGGATCATTCGGATCGGAAATGATACCTCGGCGGTATGTCGTTGTGTTCAATCACGATTCAATTTTAAATACCGCATATACTCTAGTAAGACACGCTTCGTCGAAGCCGCATTATCCCGCAGGAAGAATCACCGCCGTTCCGTTCATACTGGCGCGCGTTCCGATCGGATGCTCGTAACGGAGCGATCTCGCTCGCCCATATTGTGAGCGATACTCGTACGCGCCCGTTTACGACATACGACGAGAACGCTATTTCGAAGCGATGTCTATCACTGAACCACGACAGACAGAGACCAAAAGACAGAGAGGGAGAGAGAGAGACACGCGCGCTTTTCTCTCTCTCTCTCTCTACCTTCATTCCTCTTTGTTGCTTTCTGTCTCGCTCTTTCTTAGTTCCGTTTACGTAACCAGCGGACCGTTTACGTTACATCGGAGATCGGGTTTATCCCCGATAACGCAGTCTCCGTTATGTGAGTTTTGTTAACGGCAACTTTCGGAAGAATTGAAGTAAGTTCGGAACGAGCAGGCTCGCCCGCCCGCCCCGCTTTTTATCTTCGTAATTAGATAATGAGAAAAAATAGCTTTTAAATAAAAACAAGAGAAGCAATGTTTGGAAAAAGTTTCATAAGCTGCACAATGGTGCGGCCGCTAATTACATTATATCGTAATACGTGTATTCAGCTTACGGTTTTCATCACTAATTCACGGTGGTCGTCCCATTAATTAGCGAACAAAAATTCCATGTCGAGGAAAGTTATAATGTACCGTGTGTGCTTTTTGCGTTACGCGTGTAGAATAACACGCCAGTCTAATAATGGCGGCTGTGTGCCGCGACGTTGACGGCGGCAAATATCCGAAGAAAATATTTGCACCGGACTTTTGTCGCGCCCGACATTTTTCACGACATGTTGATTAACGGTTAGCGCAACAATTTATAAAAAGGCGCGTTTCTACGCGCACGCGTACGTGGCATCGATCGCGGCGAATATCCATCACACGGGCACATCATTTTTATCGCTTAATTCGCGTGTAATTCGCGTTACACGAAAGTTACGCGAGACGCTGCTTGAACGGGGAGAAAGGAGCATGAACGAACCGAAGAAGGAAGCGCGTGCTATTATCGAGCATCGTGAACACAGCGCGTCACTCGCGTCTTGCGATCGACAAAAACGGCCTTAGGGTTACTCGGAACCAGGCTACTGCCGGGGTTAGCGGCAGCTGAGGATAACGCACCTTGTTAAACCCCCGCAGCGCGCGGCCACATAGCAAAGTTTGCACAATGATATCCGGCGTTCGTGCCGACTCGCGTCTCGGCTACAGACGATTTGCGGTAGCCGAGTATTTCGCAACCGAGTTCGGCTTATATTTCGAACGCGGTTCGCAGTCCGCTAACAATTAAAACGGTTCAATTAACTCTCCGATCACTCAGTCCGGGCTTTCTATTTTCCGTAATTATTGGACGAGGCGCTGACTGGGAGCTGAGGCAAAAATAATGAGTATACTTTCTTTCTACGTGCACCTACAAATATTTATATTTTGTAGTCTCTAATTGTTAGGAGCGTACGGCCTCTCCGAGGGAGATGAGAGTGCTGCGTCGCTGCGAATCTTTTCCCGAGGCACCATTTCTTCCGTCGACGTCTCGTCGACTCAATAATATCCCGATAACCCTCCCCTCTCCACTCACGAGGTAATCTTGAAATTCCAGAACGAGAATAAAAAAAGAGTCCCTAACCGGTACAATATTATCTCAGACCGTGATATCTTTCTACGTGATACAAGACTCCTCGCCGTGTTCCTTCTCGTCGCGTCGAGTCTCCTCCGAGTCTGCCACCTGTAAGAAAAAAAATCTGAAAATCGCTGAAAGAGCGCAGCACGGAATTCGGCGCGGTGGAATAAATTCTGGGGTAAGCGACCGGCGTATACATAAATCCTGTTACACTGCGCTTACACGTAGTTACATTTTACAATTGCGCGACCTTTAATGCAAGCAGCGGGCAAGGAGCGACCGTGCCCGGCAACGCGCCCCGAAAGCCGGCTGGTTTTAGTGGCCGATGAAATATCGCCAGTAATAATCTCGCTGTCTTCGCGCGGAAAATGCATTTCCCCGTCGTACGTATGTCGGGTCGCTGCTTCTTCGCCTCGCCCCCGGACGCTTAACCGTAAGAGGAGCTTATAAATATTCCCGTATCGCTTCTCGCGCACTTTGTGAACCCGCTCGTCGTTGTTGAAAGGAAGAAGAAAAATAATAAGAACACTGAGAAAAAAATGTTTGATATTTGTGACCATGTTCGTATTGTGTGAACAAATTATGGTCAGAAGAAACATTTTTGTTGTTATTATTGCTTTATTCTAATATTTTTATTTATTTATTCACGGAAATGTATCCCTTTTATGCAAAGTAAGACATGTCTGTATGTGTCTATTACAAAAATTATATGATTATATATAAATTATAGAATTATTTATTTATGTTATATATTATAATATTAATGATAATAACCTTATATGAATCATTATCTTATATGAATGATACTGTTGCTTTTTGTTTAAAAAAAAAATTTACTTCGACGATACTGACACTTGTTAACTCCTCTCTTGAACTTTCAATTCTACAGATTTGATTTCAATGTTGTTTTGAACAATTTTGACGTTAAAACAGTGAAAACAGAAATATGAGACATTAAAATTGAAATAAGGGTAAATTATATTTTTAGAATTAAAATTGAATCTATTTTGTTATCTTAGCTTCTATTGTAAAGTTAAAAGTTTAACATAGAACCGAAATATAATATCATTTTAAGAAAAGGATATAGCTATAGTGCTGAAAGATACACATTGAGAGTAAATATATTTTATTTATAACTGTCACTATAATAGTCTTACGATGAATTCGGTCATCTGCGCCATATCGGATTAGTGCACATTAAAAGCCGTTACATAGAAATGTCCAAACACAATAGCACTGCATAAGCACTTTGACGGTGAAATAATTAACGTATATTCTGCTAAATAATGTGGCAATATCGTTATTAGGTATTTATTTGTTCAAAATGCTCATATGCTATTTTGTCTAAATAATTGCTTCATATGTAGTGGCCTTTAGCATCCATCCGGTATAATGCGGGTGATCAAATTCGCTATGTTGTCAAATTCGCTATGTATTATACGCACATTGTTCCTACTATTTTCGCGAGAGAGAACTATAAAAAAAAGGTATAGCTGAAGGTGAAAATAATTATAATTTCTCCGAGTGTAACTATAATTTTAGTGAGATTAAGCATTCTTTTCTCTCTCTCTCTCGCAATGAAAAATTCGTTTCACGCGAGCGCAAGGGTTCATCGTCGATACGCGCGATGCGTTTCACGCGCGGGTATTCGTCTGTTCGTTCGTTTCGATTCAGTCGAGAGAATCGAGTCTCCGCGGAATGTCCCGGAGTGAGACTTCGTTTCTATAATTGGGATAGAAAATAGGAAAAGGGAGGATCTAATATACGTGGCACTCACTCCGCGGTGTCGACTGCTTCGTCGTTTTCAAGAGACTCGCGGCATTATTTTTTTTCCTACGGATCATTGGGTCTCAGGATAAGTCCCGTGTATCGAGTATCCCACGGGGCTCGCTCCTCTCTTTTTCTTTCTCTTTCTTTCCACCGGCGAAACGCAGTTAATATACGATTATTATGCGACGAGCGAAAAAATGATCGAATTTCTGCGCGACGATTAAGAAGTTGTGTGCTATCCCGTTGATACTCGCTAATCGCGCGGCTCGTCGACCATGCCCCATGCTCGCGAAAGAGACGAAGGAGAGCTAACAGCGAGTTGCGTGTCGCGACCTCCCCACCCCTTTGAAATATTGTTCAAGCTACGGTTACGGCTTGGTGATTATGGTAAATTACGAAACGTCGATACTATGTTCCAAGAATCCTCGTTTCTTATTATCGACGAACGGATGAGCGAGCGAGCGCGCGCAAACAAACTGTCGGCGATGGCAAATAAACATTCGCCGGGGCGATGACTCGCGGCCGAAACGACTCGAGAGTTACTAACGCGCACTCTCTCTCTCTCTCGGCAAGACGATAACTTTCATCTCGGCCGTTATTCAGGCAGAAGCGGAAATCGGAAACGCGACGCGTCGGCCTTGACGGTCAGGTAGGGTAGATGAATAGATAGATAGATCAATAGATAGATGGGTAGGTAGGGTTGGAAAAACTGTCGGGATCGCTTTTCCCGCTAAAGAGAGGAGACACCGATCCACAAGCGATGGACATTAATGGCCTTTTACGGCGACGCCTGACCCGTCCATCGTTAGGTCGTGTCGGGCTGGCCGGTTCAACCAGCCGTCGCACTGGCTGAGCTACATGTATGCGTGTACGTGTGACACATGAAGAGAACGAGGGCATGTCTTTCAATACGGCGGCTTGTAATACGGTATACGTTGGTGTAAGTGTTGCAGCGTTCTACGCCTTTCCTCCGACGTATACGAGTCGATAATTGATAGACGGGAGGGACAACGATATCGTCGTTGTCGACTTCATCCC